GGCTGATGAGTATGTTTTCCCGTTTCTGCACGGGCTTCGTGTTCGTCGAGGCAGCGTCGGCTCGACACGGCTCCTCGACATCACCATCACCGTCATCATCATCGCCATCGCTTTTGACATCACCACCACGATCATCAGCATCACCAGCATCATCCTCAGCATCGTCATCATCAGGGCAGCGGGGAAGCGACGATCGCCGTCCGCTGAACGGGCTCGTCACCAACAGCATCATCATCATCAGCAGCAGCAGCAGCAGAATTATCATCTGAATCGTCCTCTCTCTTCTTGCTCATATTGTTCATCCTCATCATCAATATCATTCTCATGCGTTGCTCCATGCTCCTTCCCTGTGCTCAAGGACGCCCTGCCATCTGCCCGCTGTTACGAGCTACTGTGTTTCATCTGCTCAAACATACCCCGAACTGCTCCTCTACATCCTCATGTTCCTGCTCCTTCCTCCGCTCAGCTGTCCTAGGTACGCTGCTGGCCCACCTTCATCATCAGTCCTCCCATAGTCACCTTCATCGTCGTCTTTCGCACAGTCCTTTTTTCGTCCTTTTTATCAGCGCATATTCCAACGTGTTCGCTCACCATCACCATCTGCAGCAGCAGCATCGTAATAGTTATAAGCAGGGCCATCATCACCGGCAGCATCACAAATCTCCCACTATCCCTGTCCCCCCTTTTTTCATCATCATCACCATCATCATTGTCACCATTGTCGTCATCATCATCAACATCATCATCAGCAGCAGCAGCAGCACCTCTCCCCTTTGGCCTTCGCGCGGGAGCAGCTCGCCGTGGGTTCGTGCCGTCCGCAGCCTGAGGGAGCGCGGCGCGACAGTCCTCCCCCTTGGGCCCCCTTTTTTTGTGGGGCGCGAGTGCCGTCTCCGAGCCCGAGATTCCAGACGTCGCCCTTCCGCCGCACCTCTCCCGCGCCCCTGCTCCCTCTCCGCCGCCCCGCCTTCTCCTCCTTTCGGCCCTGGGCGACGTGCCCCTGCGCCGAGCCCCATGCGTCAGGCAGTGACGAGGCGTCCAGGCTTTTGCCAAGGAGCCCACCTGGTGGTGATCTGGCAGCTCTTCTTGCGGCTTGCACGACATGTTGTGAGAACTATTCGGGCTGAGGCAGCACCGAGTTGATACGTGGGCTTCATGTTCTACGGCAGCTGTTGTTGGTTTTTTAACACCAGTCGGTTTCAAGAGAAGTTCGCGGCTGGCCTGCAGGATTGCTGGGACGATCAGCCCCTGCTCAAAAGACACGGGGCATCCGATGATATGATGTTTCGATCCGCCGCCCCCCCGCGCTCCCGAACCCTTCCCCGGGGCCAGTTCTTCGTCCTGTAGCCGCTTCTGATTGCCCCGGGGCCCGATCACGGGCCCTGCAGGAGGTCGAAGCCGAGGAAATGCGCCAGGGCGGAAGGCTCGAAGTGGTGGTTCGCGTTCCCCCCTTCGTGGGCCTTCCGTGGGGCGATCTTGGGGCCCTCGTGGGGCGCTCTTGGGGCCGTCTTGGGGCCGTCTTGGGGCCCTCGTGGGCCCCTCTTGGGGCCGTCTTGGGGCCCTCGTGGGGCCCTCGTGGGGCCGTCTTGGGGCTCTCTTGGGCGCCTCTGGGGGGCCGTCCTGGAGCGTCGGGAGAAGCCGAGGAGCAGCGCCGGGAGTGTCCCCCGGAGGCTCTCGGGCCGCAGCTCGGGCCGTCGGCGGCCGTGCCGGAGGATCCGGGCACCCCTGATTAGGAGCTGGCCTCGACGAGGCGCTGCCAGGGAAAGGCATCCCGAGGCTGGGGATCGACGAGAGCGCTTAGGAACGCGAGGAGGAACGCCGGGGTGGAAAAAGTCGTATGCGGTCGGACCGAAGTATAAGATCGAGGTCGGTTCGGGGGGGGGGAGGGCGTAATGCTCTTCGTGCTTGCGGGCTGTTCTTGTGCATCCTGGGGGAGGGTGCCCCTGGATGTTCTTCGGCGTGGCCGGCGGAGGGTCTCATGTTCTTAGGGGGCGTTCTTCTGTCCCAGGTCTGGCCGTACTCGGAGATCTGGGACTGCGGGATCCTGCAGGGCTCGATTAACACGGCTCTGGATTCACCCGGGGCCCCGATGTTGGCGATGCATCGCCGATTCAAGCTCGATGCTTCGACCCCCTGAGCTGGTACCCCCCTGACGCCCCCCTTTAACCGCTCGAGGTTTCTTCGGGGTCAGTCAGATGGCACACGCCGTCCGGACCAAAAACGTAGCTGGCACTGAGGCGGGAGTACGGTACTTGAGTACACTTGCAGTGGGGGCGCGCATCAAGAAACCACATGCTTTTCGTCAGGGCATCCTGGGTTTCTTCGCTCCGCGAGCTGCGCGGTGACTTTCCGCAGCCGTTGAAGAAGTTGCTGCGGTCAGGGTGCTCTAGACTTCCCCTCAGGTGCACCTCGCGCGCGGGTTTTTAGGGGTAGGTTTCTTGCGGCCGCGGCCGCACAGTTTGAGGGTGGAACGGCTGCCAGACCAGGCATCTTCAGGCTCCCCGTCTTTCATTGTTAGACTCTTCCGCGGAAATCCTTTATAAGTCAAAGAACAATCGTACAATCGGATGGAAGGGGAAGGAAGGCAGGAAGGAAGGAGACGCGCGAGCAGTGCCCCATTCAAAACGAGAACCAAAGACAGGAGGGTTTGAAAAACTCGTGTACGCTGTCGGAGACTTCGAGCGAAGTCGAGGGCGACGACGACGACAGAGTAGCCGCCGCCGACGACGACCTGTCTGAGATCAGCGCCTGTCTGCATACGCGCCTGTCTGAGATCAGCGCCTGTGGTGCCAAAAACTTTGCACCCGTATGCAAAAGAAGAAAGGGAAGCACTGCGAATCATGTTGCAAAGTTGAACAGCGTGAGCAGCTTGCGCGCTCGGGCACACGCAGGCTGCTTGCGGCTGGCACGCGTATACTGCTTGTACACTTTTCCAGCGGCAAAGTCGATCCCAAGATTCCTCTCAGTGCGAGCGCCCATGAGTCTGACGGAACGGAGCTTGGCCTCGAGGCTCTCACGGAGGCTGGCTGAGGAGGCCACAACACGAGATTTTGTCACGGCAACAGGCAGACTGACTTTGTTAAGTTGCATGTGCAGCCTGCGCGTGACCCCAGCCAGCTCGAGCACAACATCTTTTTCGCGCCCAAGCCTCTGCAGCCCAAAATCATCGACCACGTTGCCAAGATGCACGCGGGGAAAGGCAGCCTGCACTGCATCCAAGGGTGCTAGAAGCACTGGCTGCAGCATCAAGGTTGCAAAATAGCAGCCTGGAAGAACGGCTTGCAAGGTGTGCACAGGAGTAGACACAGAATCACCGAGGGCGAGCACGCGAGGGCAACGATACAGCTCGACTACGGTAGGTTCGCGTCGTGTCGACCGGCGGCGACCCCAGCGCGGGCGTTCAAGGTTGAACGCCGGCGGCGGCCCAGAATCGGTCGATGTTGAACGATCGGACGTTGCGGAGACGGCCGATCGTTCAAGGTTGAACGATCCAGCGCGGTGTCGGGAACCAACGCCGGGGTCGACACGGCACGAACCTGCCGTAATAGCTTCAGCTGCCGCACAGGGAACCCTGTGCGTAGCGCTGCCTGCAAATTATCGTCATGTCTTATATGTTCAAAGGCCTTGGCAAGGTCGAGGAGGATGAGAGCGCTTGAAAAACCTCGCGCGCGACCCCACTCAGCGCTGCTAGCTTGGATCCAGACCAGCTTGTCTGACGAACGCCCAGCCGTGAACCACCAAAAATTGCGATCATGTTGCTGCTGCCACTCTGCAGCGAGCGGCTTCCTCAGCCGTCCTTGGACGCGCGCTAAGATCTGGATGAGCGCGATGGGGCGGAAGCCACCATCGCGCTTCGAGAGAAAAACTATCTTGGTCCAAATGGCAGGCCAGGCACAGGAAACTTTCACCTCGACGAGGATGTCAAGGAAGACTTCGAGTGCCTCATCAGATAACGCAAGCAGCTGCCGAGGGCGCAGCTGGTCAAACCCGCAGCCTGAGCGACGAGGAAACGACCGCACGCAGGCCCTCCTCCTCCTCCTCCTCCTCCTCCTCCTCCTCCTCCTCCTCCTCCTCCTCCTCCTCCTCCTCCTCCCTCCTCTCTCCTCCTCCTCCCCTCCTCCTCCTCCTCCTCCTCCTCCTCCTCCTCCTCCTCCTCCTCCTCCTCCTCCCTCCTCCTCTCCTCCTCCTCCTCCTCCTCCTCCTCCTCCTCCTCCTCCTCCTCCTCCTCCTCCTCCTCCTCCTCCTCCTCCTCTTATGCCCCCCCCCTTGTAAACGTAACGCTCCGGCCCCCAGTGCGCCCCCGGCACTGCCGCCGTGCGCGCAGGGATCCGCGTAGGAACCCAGATAGGGATCCGCATAGGCATCCGCACAAATATCCGCACAGGGATTCGCACGGTGATGCGCACAAGGATCCCCAGAGGGGTCTTCATAGGGATCCGCACAGAGATCCGCATAGAGGCGGTGGTCGCGGGAAAGGTAGGATGCTCTCAGGCACTTGTGGGGCTCGTAGGAGAGAGAGCAATAGGAGGAGAATGACGACAACGACAACAACGACGACGACGAGGACGAGGACGAGGATGGAGGAGGGAGGTAAGGAGCATACCTTTTTGTACGCCACATGGAGGCAACGACGCCTTCGCAGGCATGCGTTCGACGCAACTCATCGTCGCTCTTCGTTGTCGGTCGTCGTCGTCGTCGATCGTCGTCGTTGTCGTCGTCGCTCGACGTCGTCGTCGTTGCCGTCGTCGCTCTTCGTTGTCGGTCGTCGTCGTCGTCGTGGTTGTCATCGTCGTCTCTCGTCTTCGTCTCTCGTCGTCGTCATCTTCGTCGTCGTCGTTGTTGTCGTCGGTCGTCATCGCTCGCGGTCGCTCGTCGTTGTCAAACGCCTTCGAATGCTTTCGAGGGCCTTTGGAGGCCTTTGTCCAGGTGTGCGCGTCGAGGGCAACGGCGCGACGTCGCATCACTCTCGCCCCTATAATTATTCTGCGCCGATCCCGACCGAGGTGCGCCGACTGGGCCTCAATCGTCCGGGTGTGCCTGGAGAGCATCGGCGAGCAGGACGAGCCGCCCTGCGCCGACGCCATCTCGGTGCGCGACGAGTGCGGGTGCCTCGTCCGCAGGCACGTGGCCGAGACCATCGAGGAGCAGGACCTCCTCCTCCTTCCGCGTCTCCTCTTTCTCCTCCTCCACCTCCTCCTCGTCCTCCCCCTCCTCCTCCTCCGTCTCCTCTTCCTGCTCCTCCTCCTCCTCCTCCTCCTCCTCCTCCTCCTCTGTCTCCTCCTCCTCCGTCTCCTCTTTTTTACGTTAGACCGATCTAAGGTTTCTTTGTGGCGCTCTTGAAGAAAAAAGGATCAGTATAGTACGATTCGGGTCAAGATGCACCTGTCGGGTGCCGCTGAAAATAAGGTAAGTAAAGCTAAGGCCGAGAATCGTAAAAACGAGTAGGCGCCCGCCAGGTCCTCGAGGTTGGCACAAACCTTAGTAAGCGAGTACCCCCGTGGTAGATGGATAAAACAATATAGGCAATCCTAAACTTTATAGGTAGTGCCACCTCGGCAGGCAAGAAGCAGTAAACATGCCGTGAACAACACCGTGTTGAACGGAGGGTGTCTGATCGCTTTACACGTGTGCATATTGCTCATGTATAGGGTTTGGTACCTAGAATCAGTGTCTTGATCAGAGTAAGTGCGCTGAGCTTGCAACTAGAGAGGATAGCTGCCATGACGCTGTATGGTTTTTTTACAGGGCGTTGTAGGATTATCCCGGACCTAAACTGGAGAGAGGTGCCACCAGTGCGTCAGAACGAGAGCGTAAGACGGAGGGTGTAAAGTTGAACAGTGACAGACCAAAGAGTGGATGCAGATACGCAGGCTGGCCTGTATGGAGGCTGGCCTGGTGGAAAAAAATCAGCTCACGAGGTCAAGTCGGCTTTGTGGGGTCTACCTCTGCAGGGACCCAGGTGTTAGAGTTGCTGGGTTTTTTTATAGCTGACCCCTAATCCGTCTCCTCCTCCTCCTCCTCATCTGGGCTGCTGGCTCGTCCGATGGCCTCTGTCTTCCCGCGCCCGCTGGCCCCCCGCGGTCTTGGATGAGCCATGCGCCCGCCGCGCAGTTCGACGAGGCATCGTCGGGCGCAGCGTCTGTGTCAGGGAGGCCGCTCACAGCGTGCGGCCTCCACCTCAGGCTTGACTGTTGGCCCCCTCCTCCTCATCCTCGTCATCATCCTCGTCCTCATCCGCCTCCTCCATCCTTTTTCCTGGCAAATGACGCGTCACTCTCGCACACCGGGGCCAGTCGGAAGGGCGGGCCGGGCGTTTCGCCTGATATTTCTTTACCATGTGTGGTCTTGACGCTTCAACATTGGCAAGAATTTCACTGATGGAGGGCGGGTCGTTATCAAATTTGTACTCCGCCTTAGCGCAGCGAACATTCGTCTCGCAAAGCTGCAAGGGCTTCACGGATTGAGAGCGGGTTCGTTTTCAAAATGTGGTTCTCGCCTCAGTGCACATCCGTCTTACAAAGTTCGCAAGTGTTTCACGGAATGAGTGTTGGCGGCTTTCAACATGTGATTATCGCTTTAGCGCCATGCGCACTCGTCTTAAGCATTTGCAAGAGCTTCACGGATTGAGGGCGGTTCCTTTTCAACGAGTCGTTGTCGCTTAGCCGCCGCGCACATTTATCTAAGCAACATGCAACAGTTTCGCATGTTCTCATGGCTCACGTACTAGAAATAGTGTTTTGGAAGGGTTCAAGATTGTCAGGGCGCAACAGTTACGTTGATTCGCGGTGCTGAAGTCCCAGGAATGGTGCTCTGGCACGATTCAGGATCATCCAGACGCAACAGTCAGGTTGGTATGTGGCCCTGGAGTCCCGAGAATGGTGTTTTGGTACGCATCTGGATCTTCAAACGGTTGTCTCCCAACGAGGCCCTTCCCTCAGTGGAAATGATTCCTTGTAGGGGCCTATGAAGCGGGGCCTTGGAGGGAAGGTTCATTCCAACATCGTTGATGAGCCTTGTGTTTGCATTGGTCCACCTCCTTCTCATCATCCTCCTCCCTCGCCTCCTCCTCCTCCATCTGATCCTCCTCATCCTCCTCCTCATCCTCATCGTCCTCCTCTCAACTCCCTCTAGCACGTCCTCCTCTCAACCCCCTCCAGTATTTTTCTCGGTATTCGACCGAGGGTGTCCAGGCCAGTGGCAGTCTGTCACCTTCAATAACGACAAAGAGCAAGGCCGTCGACGAGGTCGGGGGGCTGGAAGATGCGAGCTTCGGGTGCGGCCGCTTCTTCCTCACCATCTGCCAATGTTCTCGGCCTTTCGCCGAGGGTGTTCAGGCCAGTGGCATCCTGTCACCTTCAGTTACAGCAGAATTCGAGGTCGTCGACGAGATCGGGGGGCGGGAAGATGCGAGCTTCGGGTGCTCGAGCCTCGAGGTTCGTCGCCGTCGTCATCGTCGTCGTCGTGCGCCCTCGTGGCCACGGCTGGATCTGCCACGGAACTGTGGTCGGAGCGCACCCCGGGAGCGTGTCCAGGGGCAGCGCCTGACCCCGGATCGTGGGGAGCTCCTCGCCCTGAGGTCCGGGCTCTGCAGCTTGCGCACGCCAGGCGTTGTCGGCGAAATCCGGGCCCCAGGGCCCACCACAGATCGATCCCGCTCGCAAAGTGCCGCAGAAAGATTGGTCGAGGGCTCTTGTCGTGAGTTTGCGCGATGCTGCACTCTGTTTCGCGGCGTCGGATCCCAGGTCACCCCAAACCCCTCCCGCGGGTGCCTTGCTCGAGCCATTGGCCGGGAGGCCACGGAGCCCGCTTCCTTGCCCAAGTCCCCTTCCCGTCACCTCCCGTCGAGAGTGTTTGTTGTTTACCTTCTGGGCCATAACGCGCGTTATGCCCCCTACAACACTGAGGGGTCCATGCCAAGAAACACCTTGCTTGCCTCCAGGGTGCCCTGGGTTTCTTGGGTTTCGATGGTTTTGCTATGGAATTCTTGACGTTCGCACACCGGAAATCAATGGACGTCCTGGGGTCTCAGGCTTGGTTTTTTTGTGGAAGGTTTCTTGTGGACTAGCCTCCACTGTACCCTCCCCCCTCCCCCCCCGCTCTCCCCATGACGTAATGCTCCCCCCCTCAGTACGTCCCCCGCACCACAGTCTGGGAGGGGTGGGGGGGCGCCACGTTATGCCCCTTCCCGTTTCCCTCCCCCTCTCCCCCCCAGAACGCCCGTCATGGCCGCGAATAAGAAAATGCGATCGTCCCTTCTTCCGTGACCTCCGCATCCCATCCCGTCCTCGTTCCACTTTCGCCTGCTTCTGGGCCCGAATCCTGAAGGAAGGGGGGCCTCGGAGGACAGAGGAACGGGGGGCCCTCTGGTCCAACCTACTCCCCATGAGGAGGTGGAGGAGGAAGGATAATGTAGAAGGGAGGGAGGGAGGGACAAGCAAGGAAGGGAGGAAGGAATGAGGAGGATAATGGCGACGACGGGAGAGAGAAGGAGGAGGGAGGAATGAAGAGGGTTGAAGAGGAAAGGAGGAAGGAGACGAGGAAGGATGACGCGGAAAAACGAAGAAAAAGGCATGAGGAAGTAGGAAGCATTGAGGAAGGAGGATAAGGAAGTGAGGGGGGAGGGTGGACAGAGGACGGACAGAAAAGGGAAGAGCAGGAAGGGGGGGTACGGAGGGATGGATGGAGGTATGATGAGGAGTGGGAGAGAGGAGGGGAAAGGGAAGGGTGATGATGAGGAGGAGCAGGAGGAGGAGGAGCAGGAGGAGGAGGAGGAGGAGACGGAAAAGGAGGAAATGATAAGAAGGAGGCAGTTGATGTGGAGGCGGCCCACGTGGGAGGAGGAGGAGGAGGAGGAGGAGGAGGAGGAGGAGGAGAACGAGGAGGACCACGACGACGATGACGACGACAAGGGCAAGGACGATGACCAAGAGGATGCAAGGGACGCGGAGATGGAGGAGGAGGAGGAGGAGGAGGGCGATGACGACAGCGACGAGGACGAGGTCGGGGAGGTGGAGGAGCGGAGGAAGGGGGTCGCAACCCTCCCAGACGAGCAGTCTTAGGTCCCCCCCCCGACCAGCCACGAAAGGGAGGCCTCTTGCCCAGACCCCAGTGGAAGCCTCCAAGGCAGCTCAAATCCGACCCCCCTAGATCAGACCAGCACCCTTGTATTGTGAAATCCGGAGTACCCTGGGCCCGGAAGTTCATTCAAATTCATGCGACGAGATCTATACATATCCATTGTTCCCTGTCCAGGCCCATCTTGAACCCAGGGGCTGTGTATACCCCCTCCTGGCCAAGCCGGGAGGGCGTGGCGTATAACATTGTTGTTGGTTTCAGGCCTGGCTTGGCCAGGGAGCAGTGGACATGTATAGATTTCATCGCCCAAGTTGAGTGTGATATGATTGGGCCCGCCACGATTTTCCAGAGTTCGTCCACGTCGGGACCTTTGGATACCTATGGGCGGCACGCCGAGTTTGTGGTGTACGCAGGCGTGTGCACAGGCACTGTGGTGAACACAGGCGCCAGGGGGCCTTGTGCACACGGCTGCTGTACATGGCGCGAGCATCGTGCTGTACGCTCCTGGAGCTTTTGGGATAGTGTGTCGCTCCGCCGCTTCTGGTCCACCACGCCTCGGCGCAACACGATATCTAGGGGAACAAAAAGTGGCATGAACATAAAAACTCGGAGGTCCGCGCGGATTTCTCGGATCGGCGCTGGACCCCCCTCCCTGGCTCGCGGAGCGCGCCAGGGGCGGCGCCGGAGGCGCCGCCGGGGGGCCCTCCCCTGGATTTCCACTCCCCGGGCCCCCCGCGTCCACGTCCCGAGACTTTGCGCGAGCACCCCGGCCCGCGGAGCGGAGCTTAGCACGCTATCCGCCTGCAGGGCACGGCATGCCGCTTGAGGGCCGCCAGGGCGAAGCGCTCGGCAAGCGTTCCCGACCGCAGCGCTCCCTGCTCGCCCGGCGACCTCTCAATTCGTAGAGAGCCAGGGCTCATTTCGATTCTTCCGATTCGATGCGGTACGATTGCCACTCTTTCCGATTCCGATTCCGATTCGACTTCGGATTCCGATGTCTTCATCGAGGCCCACTAGGCTGCCGATCTCCGCCGATTCGACCTTTCCCGACTCGGCTGCCGATTTCCGCCGATCCGATTCATTTCGATCGCCGATCCGACTTGTCGATTCGATTCTGGGCTCTCCTGCAGTGCAGGTGGCGCCGAGTCGAGCAGGGATGGTCGCGCTCCGCTTAGCATTAAGTCGGGCATGTCCCCCTGCAGGAGGAGAATATTCAAAATAGTACAAACATAGTCAGGGGAAGACTTGTTATTATCGCTGCATGTTTTTAACCGTTGCACCTGCTTGCACATGTTTGGAGAATTTCTTTTTTCCTTCCAAAATCCGCCTGTAGGGGGACATGCCCGACCAGAGCTCAGCACAGGGAGCACGGGTCCCGAGGGAAGCGGGTCCTGGAGCCCCTGGGGCTTCTCGCCCCCCGGGGCGAGGTCGTCCTCCCGAGCCGTCTGCTGACACGCTCCCTGGGCCCGTGGAGGGCCCGTGGAGAGCCGGGAAGGCGGGGAGGAGCCTCCGGGCCCGCGTCCCTCATCTGGACGCCCGGAAGGGGTACGGACAGAATGGGTACGATGCCCAACAACAACATGGACCCTGCCATGATATCCCTCCCCAATCATCACCCCCCTCCCCCCAAACCCCCGACGCCATGATCTTTTCAGGACGCGGCCCTCAAAAGTCTGGACCCCTTCCCGAAGACCGGGTCTTCATCCTCAGCTGTTTTTTGCCGGTCCCGGGGCCCAGCCAGCGCCCACCAGCAGTTCCTGTTCCTTTTGAACAGGACTTGCTGTCCGCGCCGCCACGGCCTGTGTCCCTTTGAGACAGAAGGCCGCCTGCCCCACAGCGGCCGCTGTGGGTTTGGGACAACATGTGTTGTTGGGTACGGAAAAATGGGCACAATGCCCAACGGCAAATGTCGTCCCAAGCTAACAGCGGCCGCTGTTGGGCAGGCGGCCTCCAGTCTCGAATGGACACAGGCCGCGGCGGCGTGGACAGCGAGTCCTGTTCAAAATGAACAGGAACTGCTGTTGGGCAGTGTACCCATTCTTTCCGTACCCATGTCGGGCGTCCAAAGCGCAGGACCCGCTTCCCCCATCCGAGAAAGGACAAACACCATAAGTAGAAACTTTTGGCGCTCCGAGCGGATTTCTTGGATCCGCGCTGTGGCCCCCCTGGCGGCGCCTCCGGCGCCGGCCCACCGCAGATCCAAGAAATCCGCGCCGAGCGCCAAAAGTGTATATTTATGCAGTTTTTCTTTTACCCATGGCGAACACAAAGCTTGCACGACTCGGCGGCAGGAGGCGTACGACGTCGAGGGGCAGCTCAGGGGCGACATCGTCCTGGGGGCCTCGCTGGAGCTGCGCCTGTCCTCGGACCCCCGGCTCCTGGGGCCGCTGTTGCAGCACCTGGACCGCGACCGCGAGCAGCTGGCCGACGACAAGGCCTTTTCCATCCTCCTCCCTCCCCATCCTCCCTCCTCCTCCGCATCCTCCTCCTCCTCCTCCTCCTCCTCTCTCTCCTTCTCCTCCTCCTCCCTCCTCCTCCCCCTTCTCCTCCTCCTCCTCCTCCTCCTCCTCCTCCTCCTCCCTCCTCCTCCTCCTCCTCCCTCCTCCTCCTCCTCCCTCCTCCTCCTCCTCCTCCTCCTCCTCCTCCTCCTCCTCCTCCTCCTCCTCCTCCTCCTCCTCCTCTCCTCCCCCATCCTCCTTCTCCCCTCCTCACTCCACCTTCTCCTGATCCTCCCCCTTTTCCTCCTCCTCCTCTTCCTCCTCCTCCTCCTGCTGACCGTCGTCGTCGAGGAACTGGCGTTGCCTCTCCTCGGTGAACCCCCTTGGCATGGCCCCACTGCTGGGAAGACGCGCCTCCGGGTGCCTTTCAGATACGGGTTAAGTCGTCTTCGAGACATTGATTGGGTTGACACCTCTTCCTCAGCTCGAAGAGAGAGAGAGAGAGAGACAGAGAGAGAGAGAGAGAGCGCCATGCATGTCAGAGGTGCGTCGGCAGTCGCATACAGACTGAAAGACTGTAAAAGACTTACATCTCTTCCTCAGCTCGAAGTAGAACAACAATTGCATTAACATAGACTGTCAAAGATCCGCGCGGTTTTCCTGGATCGGCGCCAGGCCCCCCTCGGTCGGCGCTTCTGGCTCCACCATCGGCACGCTCCGCGCGCCATAGAGGGGGTCTGGCGCCGATACGAGAAATCAGCGCGGACCGCCCAACATTTCTGTTTGTACGTCTTTGATGTTCTATTCCTCAGCGAATGGAGGATCGGGCCTTCTCCCAGGCATGCTCGCGCCGTGGAAGAATCGCGACACCGTTTTGTACCGTTTCCGCTTTCCAGGTGCCCTCGCCGGACCCGGCCGCCAAAACACGGCCTGGTATTAATACTCCGTCCCAGGGGAGCGGGAGGGATTGCGGGGACCCCGCATGGAAACATCAAGTCATCACATGTTTGGGTTCCGATGCGGGTGAAATGAGATCATCCCCGAGACATCGATGGGGTTGACGTCTCTCTCGCCACGAATCGGCGGCGGGCCCGGGGGGAAGTGAGAAGGGGCGGTCCTTCTCAGAAGGCTCGGAAGTCCCCCGGCCTTCTGATAAGTTGTTTAAAGTTTTTCCCGCCAGACAGACAGGTTGGGATGCAACTTCTGGGAGGTCAAATTCTGATTTTGCACTGGTCCGAAGTCCGCCCGCTTAATCCGGCTTAATCCCGCTTGATCCGAGGCCCAGTCCTGCGTAATAGCTCCCAAATTGGTTTAATCCTCCTTAATCTTTCCGACGAGAACCTCCTAGTAGTTGCCTCCTAAGACAGGCAGACAGATTGACAGACAGACAGAGACAGAAGCCATTCGCCAGCCTGTGGTACGGCGCCTTGGCAGAACGATGCGGACACGCCAAGCGAGTGCAGAAGAGGAGCAGCAACACGCCGATGACATGCTTTGTTGTATATATATATATATATACACACACGCCAAACACGCGCAGGCGGCAGGAGGAGGAGAGGGCGGAGGACGACGACGAACGATGATGAAGATGTGCCTCAGAATGCATCCGACCATGAATTGTCTAACTCGTCGTGCTTTGTAGTAAAATTAGCTCGTATGCGCAGTTTGCGCACTGCAATTTCGGACGACCCCGTTTCTTGACAGATCGCAACTTCCTGGGGGTGTCCCCACCAGGCTCGCAAACAAGAGCTTTGAGAAAGATATCGTCCAGCATCTGCGATATTGTTACATCTGACTGCTGTTGTCTCTTGTGCAAGGTCTCGTTGAGAGGCGCTGCCCGTGCTAAAAGTAGCACAGTTGCGTTTGAGACGCGGGAATAGTTAGTTACTCTGCGCAGGCAGGTCGCTTGAAAGTTGTCCAGTCGTTTCTGATCTGATTGTAATAACCATGTAGATTCCAAGTTGTATAAAAGTTTTGGGGGCACGATGGTGCGAATAGGCCGAGCTTCCCAGAGTTGTTGATGCTTGTGTGATTCCAAAATGTTGCCAGCGCTTTGGCAATCTCCCTGACCTTTCCCACACGTCTCGTAGCTTGAGGTTTGCTTGTGGCGCCGCTGTGTACTAGCCACCCCATGTATACAGCTTGTTGAAGATTCTTGAGAGGCGGCAAGGAAGGGACATACACAATCCTTCGTGAGCGATCGTCATCGTAACCGTTGTGTCCCAATTCTAATCGAGATCATATTGCTTTCCAAAATCGCTTGCCGAATACAACGGCACTTGAAGGTTGAGTTGGTTCGCATTCGCAAGCATGGCGTCATCAAAGTTTAACATGTATTTATGCACAACAGAATTCTGGTTCTAGAGAATCAACATCTGTGTTTTTGTAAGCCTGGTCGACGTCGAATAACGTGACGGCTTGGACGATGATGAAGAGGTATTGAGAAAGTGGGGACCCTTGAGCGGTGCCTGCTCTCTGTTGCTTGATGCTGGCATCCCTGGCCAGATCTTTTAGCAGGAATGATCGCGTTTCATAAGTGGCCCCGATTTTTGTTACATTGGCTCGGGTACCCCAAACCTCCCCAATGCTCGTAAGAGACCGGGGCCCTCCACAGGCTTGGGGTTGCGCGGTGCTGGCCGTCCCGCATTTTGTGCCAGGATGTTTTGTGTCGTGGGCCGTTCTTCGAGGACGTCTCGAGCGTGTTTCCTTATTGCTTGGGGCATAATGGGCATTATAGCCCCCGACTCCCCCCCTATAACGTAACGCCCCTCCCCCCCAGTGCGCTCCAGGCACTGCCGCCGTGCGCATCGGGCATACGGCGGGGGGGAGGCGTTACATTAGATCCCCCCCCGGCCCCTCCCCCGCCCCTCTATAATGCCCATTGTCGCCGAAAGTAAAGAAACGCGCTCCTCTCGGCGGCGAGCCCGGGGGGAAGTGAGAAGGAGCCGGCCTTCTCAGAAGGTTCTGAAGTCCCCTTGCAGAGAGGAGTCTTAAGCCTTCCTTCCCCGAAGACACAGAGAAAACCTCTCAGAAGGCGCGAGGGCTCCTGAAAAGCCCCGCCGCCTTCTGAGAAGGCCTTCCCCCCAGTGCTCGCCGCCGAGTCCCGTGCGACAAGGCATCCAGGGTTCCAAAATGGTGCGGTGACTGACCGCACGGTGACTCTGAGCTTGAGATCCGACGTCGCGAAAAAATGCCACTTCGCGAAAAAAACACGGCCAGAGCCCTACGTCCTTTTTTTTCTGCAGCATTTCTCCAGCCAGATCGATCGGTGATCGTCGTCTTGGGGCCCGAAAGCGGGCGAAAATTCCCGTTATGAAAAAAATGCAGTCGCAATGTTTTGGAAGTCCCCCGATTTGACGTCGACGACGACGACGATGACGGGACGAGGTCACTGACGACGACCGCGACGACGACGGCGACGACGGCGCGCGCGACGACGACGACGACGACGACGACGACGACGACGATGCCGACGACGACGACGACGACCACGACCCGACGACCACGACCACGACGACCACGACGACGACGACCACGACGACGACGACGGCGACGGCGGCCGCCAGGACAGGGAGCTCGACGGAGTCTTGTTGTAGCGGCCGGCGCCCCCCGCGGGCCGCGCGGTGGCGCCCTCCGCCGCGGCGCCTCCTCGGGCGGCCACGCCGCTGCCGGAGGGGCCCTGTCCTCCTCCGCCTCCCCTCCGCCCCCCCCGATGTTCCCCTCGTCCCCAGACCTCCTCGCGCTGTGGCAAAATCACGACGGGAAGCTTTTCGCTGTTTTCGGCCTCTGGGGGCCCTCGCCGGGCTTCGGGACCGTCAAAAAACGAGTCAGGACGAAAAGCCCGTCATGGGGAAGGGGTCCAGACCTCTGAGGGTCGACGGTGTGAAAATCACATCGTCGGGGGTCTGGGTCCCCTTCGTCCTTATCATGCTCCTCCGCCTCCACCTCCTCCTCCGCCTCCTCCGCCTCCTCCTCCATCCCTTGGCCTAATACAGAGTATCTCCCCGTCGCGGCCGCAGAAGTGTCGCTAGCGCGGGCCCAGCGTGTTGCCAGAGACTTCCTCACTAATTATGATATTGAAGCCCGAAATCTGCAATAGCTTCACGGATGGAGTGCGGCTCTTTTTTTATTCATGGTTTTGGCCGAAACGTTGGGTATAATCGGTTTGACGTTTCAACAGTTTCACGGATGGAGGGCGGATCGTTCTCAACAAGTAGTTCTCGCTTCAGCGCCCCGGATATTCGTTTCAAAAGTGTGCAGCAGTTTCAATAAAAGAGGGCGGGTAGTCTTCAACATGTGGTTGTCGTCTTGGCGCCGCGCACATTCGTTTTAAAAGCTTGCAGCCGCCTCAATAATGAAGGGTGGACCGTCTTCAAAGAATGTGGTATCGCATTCGCGCCGCGTACATGTGTGTTTAAAAAGCTTGCAACCGTTTGAAAGATGCAGGGCGGCTCTTTGTCAAAACGTTGTGTTCGCTTCATCGCCGCGGACATTCGTCTTAACAGTTTGCGCAGTTCCAAGGACTCGCATGGTCAAAGTCCCAGGAGTGGTGGTCTGGCACGACTTAGAGTTGTCAGGGAGCAGCCGTCGTGTTGATTTGCGGTGTTGAAATGTCAGGTAACATGTTTTGGCACGAGTCAGGGTTGTCAGGACGCAATCGTCACGTTGATTCGTAGCGTCGACGTCCCAGGAATGGTGTTTTTGCAAGGTTGAAGATTATCACATTGTTTTCTTCCCAAAAGGTTCTTCCCGCAATGAGAACAGATTCGTGTAGGGTCTCACGAAGAGGGAAATTGGAGGGATGGTTTAATTCAAACGTCGTTGATACGTCTTGGGTTTACACTGGTCCTCCTCCTCCTCTTCCTCCGTCGCTTCTTCCTCTTCCTCCCCCCCCTCCTCGATATCCCCCTCCTTCGTTGTTCCCACTGCCCCGCCTCCATTACCTCTATCCTCATCAGCACCACCACAACCACCAACATCATCATCATCAGCATCAGCATCATCCAGATGGGGGAGGACGAGAAGGAGGGAAGGGGAGAAGGAGGAGGAGGAGGAGGAGGGGGTGAGGGAGAGGGAGGAGGAGGAGGAGGAGGAGAAGGAAGAGGAGGACGAGGAGGAGGAGGAGGAGGAGGAGGAGGAGGGCCAGGGATTGCTTCCCTCCCTCCCCCCGGCACGCACGGCCTCCAAGGGTTGCCGATCGGCTTGAGTGCGTACTTCCCTGTCTTCCCCCCTTTCCTCCTCCCCCCGTACGCCCCTCCTCCCCCGCCTTTTCCTCCCTCCCCCTGTTTCCCTTCTTTCCTCCCTCTGCCCTCCTCCCTCGCCCCCTCCCCCCTTCTCTCAGACCCTTGATCCCTCCTCCCCCCCACACCCCGTTCACCCGCATCCTTCCCTCTCATTTCCCCCATTCCTCTCGAGCAGCTCGGGGGGAGAGACCGCTAACATAGCGCAGCAGGCCCCAGGAACAGCTCACCCATCAGCCTGAGCGCTGGTCCCCTCCATTTAGCTTGTCTTACAAATAACCTTGCCCTGTCACAACCCTGGGCTGGTCAAAAAGGCGTGACGGGCGTTTATGATCTTGAAGTTCAATGTTGCAAAAGCGTCACGGATGGACGGCGGGCCGTTTTCAAAATGTTGTTGCCGCATTACCGCCGCACACATTCGCATCTAAATGTTGCAAGAGTGTCACGGATGAATGGCGGGCCGTTTTCAAGATGTGGCTTCCGCTTTAGCGCCGCGCACATTCGTATTAAGATAGTGCAAAGAGCATCGCGAATGAAGGGCAGGCTGTTTTCAAAATGTGGTCCTCGCATTCGCGCCGCACACATTCGTATGAAAATGTTCCCAGAGCTTTGCGGATGGAGGGCGGGTCGTTTTCAAAATGTGGTTCTCGCTTCAGCGCCGTACGCAGTCGTTTTTTACACCTTACAAGAGCTTCTCGGATGGAGGGCGGGTCGTTTTCAATGTGTGGTTTTCGCCTTAGCGCCGCGCACATTCGGTTGTGTCCAACGGGGCACTTCCTTCAGTGGAAACGAATTTCTGTAGGGGCATATGAAGAGGGAACTTGGAGGGAGAGTATCTTGCAACATCGTTTACGAGCCTTCGAATTACACTGGTCCTCCTCCTCCTCTCGATAATCGTTGTAAGTTCCTCCTCTATCCTCCTCCGCCTTCTCATGAATTCATGGTAATCGTCATCATCACCTGATCTTCCTCATCCCTCTGATTATCCTGCTCTTCCTCATCCTCATGCTCTTCTGGCCCCAAGCCTCACACATTCTCCTCCGCCTCATCTTCTGATCATACTGGTCCTTTTCGTCTTCTCTAGTCCTCCTCGTCGTTGACCTCATCATTCTCGGCATCATCATCCTCATCCTCCTGCCTGTCATACTCATGATCCTCCACCGCCTCCTGCTCTCCTCCTCCGCCGCTTTCTTCTAGTTCGCCCTGAGTTCCTCTTCCTCATCCTGCTCTTTCTCTAATCAATCGTGCATCGCCACCTTCGTCCCTCCACTCTTTGAATCTCCTTGGCGAGGGGATTTTCCGCAGTTTGGGGAAGTCGCCTCGTCACCAGTAGGGTCCGGGCAACCCGGCATCAACATTAGCGCGTGCATGGAATTGCGTTGACAGGTGGTCTGGAAAAAGAGTCTTGTTCCATGAATAGGAGGCCTGGAGGTTATTACCAATACCAGTGTCGGTACTTGCCTCCACCGAGAGAAGATGATCCTGATCACGGTGATGGTATTAACAGTGGGGCTTCTCCGGGTGGTCGAAAGATCACCATTAGCACCGACATCTGGCAGCCTCTTCCCCTCAGTGGCGGCACCCGCTTGTGATGCCAATGTCCAGGCCTCCAAATTCCCCTTCTTTCTCTCCCGCCTGCTTGTGCTGTTTTCAGGGGCATCCATCGGCCAGGAAAGAGGGAGGAGAAGGCGGAGGAGAAGGAGGAGGAGGAGGGGGAGGGGGAGAAGGAGTAGGAGGAGGAGGAGGAGGAGTTCTGTGCTTCTTGTCACACTCCGTGAAGTCCAGCAACAAGGTCGGGCATGTCCACCCCCTCTCCTCCTCCCTCTCCTGCCTCTTCCTCCTCCTCCTCCGCCTCCTCCTCCTCCACCTCCTCCTCCTACCTCTCCTCCTCCTCCTCCTCCTCCTCCTTCTCCTCCTTCTCGCTCCCCTCCTCCTTCTCATCCTCCTCCTCTTCCTCCTCCCCTCCTCCTCCTCCTCTTCCTCCTCCTCCTCCTTCTCCTCCTCCTTCTCCCCCAACTTCTCCTCTCTCGTTCCCCCTCACCCCTCCCCATCCTTCGCTTCTTCGTCATGCTCCCCCTTCCTCGCTCACTCGTTTCCTCCCCCTCCCTCCTTCTCCCCTTCCACCCCCCTGCCGTTTGTTGCTCCCCACAGGCTCCGGCATCATCGCGGTGCTCCAGGCGACCAACGAGAATTTCGCAAAGATGGAGGCCGACACGATGGCTCAGGACCACCGCGCCGGCCAGGGCGATGCTTTGGGCGCGGCGGAGCTTGGTTCGTCTTGATCGCGACGCGTGAGGAGGACGAGGAAGACGAGGAGGAAGAGAGAGGGCGTTCTGCTGTCGGCTTGGCGTTCTCATCCCCTCTGTTTCCAGCCTCCGGGTGCCTGCTGCCGCTTTCCTTTCTCTGTCGTAATATTCGAGATCTGTATGTGCCTCCAGCGCCGCTGGCCTCTGAACGGGCTCTCGCGGCGTTGCAACTTCCTCGCGTTCAGATGGAGAGCGCTGCATCGCGGCGGCGGCGGCCCGCGGCATAGACGGACACTTGGCGCTCGGCTACGTGAGAGGAAGAGTAAGTGGAAGTGTGTGCGTGTGTGGCATATGTCGCAGCATCGTCCGCGCCCAGGGCAGCCTAGGTTTCCCATGCTGTGCGATATCCCCCAAAAGTGCACATCGACGCGTTCTTCTTCATTTATGTCCCTTCTTGCCTGTCTTGCTGCCTTCAGCCCTGGGGCAGGCGCGTCCGCTGCATATAGGCGGGTTCCATGTCGGTGCATACAGGCGGGTTTCATGTGCCCGTGTTCATGCTGCTTGCGTGGGTGAACACATTCTGGCTCATCAGCCAAACATCCGCCTCGCAGGAGGAGGAGGAGGAGGAGGAGAAAGATGGTGAGGTTGTTGCCGAGTCATGGCGATAATAGCTACACGCAAGCGAAGACGTGGAGGACGAAGACGAGGAGGAAGCACGGGGAGGCCGACGAGGACGAGGAGGCAGGAGGAGGCGCACGAGGAGGAGAGGGCGGAGGTGGAGGGGGAGGCGGCGCGGCGAGCCGAGGGCGGAGGCGGGGGGCAGAGGCTCGCGAGAACGGTCTCGAGACGAAAGTTCACGCTTCGTTGTCTTATTCATGGTGTTGCCAATCGGCGCAGGCCCTCGCACCCCCCCCCTCCCATCCCCCCCTTTCCTGGAGTAGATTAGCCAGCGCTACGGGCATCTTCTCTGCGCCAATCTTCCAAGTTTTCACTCTCAGACAAGACATGGTGCCACAGAGCGAGTCGAGCCGAGTCGAGTCCTGGAGTAGATCTTGGCTGTTTTTGGCGCTTGTTTTTGCCTATTCCAGGCAGGTGGAGCCTTCCCCCGTAGGACGCACTGCTGCAAGCAGTGGCACCAAGCAGAGGTCCGGAGCCAGACCTCCCCCCCCCTACCCCCCCTTCCGCCCACGGTCGAAACGCCGAATAAAAGAACGCCCCCCATGTTCACC